CCCCTGGTTGGGGCTGCGGGGCTCGGACGGGTTTGCAGGCGAGGGAATAGCAAACAGCTAAAAATCCTCATGCCCTTTGGCTTCACCTGCTGATTGCCAGCAGGGCTTCAGGTTTTTGAAGCCCTTGATAGCCACAGAAGCAGGTGATGCCTACGCCCAAAAACATGTGGAGCAAGGGATTTCCCTTCCTGGAAATGTTGTGCTCTGGGTGTGAAGGGGTGAGTGATGCAGGCTGCTCCGGAGAGAGCCTGGGCTTGGCTGCGTGCTCTCTCCAGCATGCCCAGGCTTTCAGCATTAGGAAATACCTTGGGGTATCGCGGTGTGTGCTTCTCGCTCAGAAAGCTGCAATGATAACAAGCACAGCTGTTTATTTTCTTTTTTTTTTTTTTTTTATATCTATCAGCACATTTCCTAGAAACAGGCGCACAGCAGAGGAGATGTTCTTGGCTTACTTGACTGTATTTCTCCAGTTTTTCTTGGAAACCCAGAAGGTCGCTGTAATCATTAGCCTTTACCATGTGCGTCATGAATTTGACAGACGCAAACGTGATGCTAGAAGGGAGCGAAAGCTCAGGCGGGTCGCTAACACCTTGTGCCCGACAGCAACGAAGCTGTTTTTACGGGAGCGGTGGGATAGGGCCATGACATGGATGCGTGGTGGTGACCATGGTTGGTGCCCAGAGCTGCTGCCTTGGATACTGCTTGGAGAGAGAAGCCGAAGGGGAAAGACGTCTACATACTTAGCGATGTGCCAGGGGAGGGAGAGGATTTGCTGGCAATGCCAAGCATATGAATGAGATGTAGGTGTCTCACCCCAACAGAAGTGCCAACTTAATTATAAATGCCAGCTGTTGAAATAAATGCCGAAAGCAGAGTGTAACACAGTAGTGAGTGGGTGGAACTGGTGTCTCAGTGTCTGTGGTTTTGCTGCTACAAGGCAACAGGGTCCAGTCCCGGGTTAGTGACGACAGCCGTGTGCTGCCACACTTTGAGAACGTGTGGATGCTGGATGCCGAAGCAGAGCAAGGGTGTTTATCTCACCCAGTAACACACGCCTTGCACAAAAAAAGAGCAAGTTATCCTTCCTTTCTAGTTCTGTCCCCAAAAATAATGTCTTGCCACCCCATGCAGTCTCTATGGGGTGAGGCTCCTTCCCCTCGCGTCCCCCGAGGAGGAGCTGCTGCTGCTCCCCAGGGTCCAGGAGCTGGGCAGGGCTGGGCTCAGCGTTTGCTGCCCGTCCTTGCCGCAGGCACTGCTGCCCACAGGCAGCTGCAGGCAGCAGGGGCAGGCAGCAAGG